TTACAGATACACACTCGATTAAAAATGTATTTTTTGCTCTCGTTCGTAGTAAATTAGAATATGCATCCACTGTATGGGATCCTACACAACAAAATTTAAAACACATTTTGGAAACTATTCAAAATAAATTTGTCAAATATTTATACTTTAAAAAGTATCATACAAGTCCAGGATTTGTTTCATTTGGACCTATTAGAAAAGAGTTTGAAATTGAAAAATTGGAACATAGACGCTCTATAATCAACCTTATCTTTTTACATAAATTATTAAATGGATATTTGGACAGTCAATATTTATTGAGTCAAATAAAAATTAATGTTCCAATAGCAGGTATTCGTCCACGTCAATTAACTTTTCGTGCGGATTATCATGGTCCAGTAGAAAAAATTTGTCTTTTGTTTAATGTACACTCCGAAGGCATTTCTTGCGGTATTTTTGATGTAGCTATAAGCACATATAGAAAGGAACTTAACAAAATTGTTGGGCTCGATTAAAGAGATATAACCTTGTAGGATTTCCGTGGCCTTGGTGTGGGGTTTTGCAGACGCTCTGATTATTCCTGAATATTTCTGATTATTTCAGTAGTTTTGTTCTTTAACGAACTTTGTTAAAATTTTGTAGTAGCGAGGTTTGTTTATTATAATTTCACTTATATATTTAATTAGATATTATGTATTTTTGTTGATTTCTATTTTCGCTGTATTTATAGGAACATGTAATTAGGCTCATGCCTGTTTGTTTCTGGAATAAATAAATAAATAAATTTACAAAGGTTTGTATTACATATATCACTTTACCAATTTAATTTTCGTTAGTCAGTTTTGCACCAATTACAAAACGGCCCTTTTTCCCAATTCTTAAAAAAGAGATAATATTCCTTTTGAAATTTTGCTCCTCATATGGGCGACGCGGGCCGCGCTGCAGGTCTTTTCCTGTCAGCGTTCGGATTACAGAGGCGGCGTTCGGACTATCTCGCCTCACGATTTGCGTTCGGATTAGCGTAATTCGGATTAGCGTGGGTTCGGATTATCGAGGTTGCACTGTAGTTCAATTCAGAGAAACATTATTGGGTTATTTATTCAGGGCGAGTCATAAGAACAACACGTGATGGCACATTTTAAGTATTTTTAAATTTTAAATGGTTTTTAAAAAAATGTAGCATATTGTCTAGTCGCTAATAAAACCCGTTATCTGATAAACTTGTTGAATTTCAGTTGTATACGTAGCAATGGTCGTGGCATAGGGATTTGTTTATATCCGATTATAATTTTTAGCTAGTACCCTTAGTTTCTGAAATTTAAAAACAGTGTAGCTGCCAAGTCGTTTTTGTCAATGAAAAATTGTTAGCTGTCCCTTATATTTAATTTTAATTAAATGTTAAATAAGTAGCTAATTACATAAGAACTTTGAAAGCAATACATAAGCAGAATTTTAAACAAAAATTATAAATAATTGATAAACAAATTGACTACATTAACGAAATAAATATAACTAAACATGATCATAATTAGGTATTATAATAGAAGTTTTTACGCATTTATTTTCTATATTGTCTACGATCATAATTTTTGAAACTTTGAATGCGTTTTTCTACATTTCGCTATTTCTGCTCACAATAGCTTTTTCCAGCAAACCAATGATATCATAGGTATGTTTTTTCATATCGAACATCCTATTTTTTATAACATCTATTAGGCATACTTAAAATAAATTTTGTTTTATATTTTACATTAGCTACTGTGAAAGCTAATATCTCAAACGTACAAAGACAAGTCTGCGTTTGCATCACCGGTGCAATGAGAACCTATCCTACGGCTACAATGGAGTCGATCATAGACCTCACTTATAAATAATAGAGAAAGTGGCAAAAAGATATAGGAATGGCAAATGACTATTAGCTCCAGGACCAAAAATACTTGGGATATGTCCGTAATGAGAAAGAAGTACAGTTTTGTGTAAAAACCTTCAGAACAACAGAGAAAGAATCGAACCAAGAATCAATCATGTTTACAACCAAAAGACATGCAATTCAGTAGTTTACAGATGATTCCAAAACTATAAAAAAGACTAACTAGTGTATGACTGTATGGGCCTAGAACGAGGTACTTTGTAAGTTTGAATACATGCCAAAATATCTTCAAGACGGACATTTACGCCATTGAAATTTGTATTCCATTCAACATCGAAAAAAACTATCGCATACAAGAGATTATATCATCAGCATGTCCAATTGCCAAGCAGCCATCACAGCGCTTAGCACTTTGGTAATCACAAATGGTCTAGAGATATCTAAAAAAACTAAATGAGCTAGGTAAGGAAAATACTGTCGCTTGGATCCAGGTAGATGCTAACGAGATTGCAGATAGTCTCTGAAGGAGTAGGCTCACAACTTTTATGGGGCCCAAGTTGTTTTGCGATATCAGCAGTTATACAATATTGAGAGAGATTAAAAAATAATTTAGCAGTACACGAACGATCTCTTGGAGCTAAGACAGGCTAAGATAATGCTCGAATTATTTAACTATAAAAGATTGAAAACCTGTAACTATATGAGCAAAAACATATCTCGCATTGTAACAGACCTTCGTCTAGTTGCTGGGCGGATAAAAAGATCCCTGGACAATAAGGAGTCCGCCTTGGGTGTTTTCATAGACGCAGAAGGTGCTTTTGATAAAACAACTTTCCCAAAGAGAATACACTTACTAACCAAAAGAAATATTTCACAAATGGTTAGTGGGTGGATACATAACATGCTCTCAAAGCGAGCAGTTAACATAAGTGTAGAAGATGTGAATATAAGAGGCTATAAACAATGCCGCCGAACCGTGAGGCGTACCTGGGGTTTCTCCCCCAGAGTCGTCGCATAGACTTACACGGCTATCATAAGATCTGTGCTAACATACGGTGCGGTTGTCTGGGTACCGAAAACCCAAAAATTAACAGCTAAACTAGAACAAATTTAGAGAACAGCATATCTCAACATAACAGGAACATTGGAAACAACACCGACCAAAGCCAAGGAAGTCATTCTTAGTCTTAGTCCCCTTAATATTTACATCAAGGAGGTTGCTCTATAGACAATTACACGCCTCCGTACGGTTGGAATAGAACCTGATGTGGGATCTGGTGAAGCAAGACGTCGCTTTTGGCAGGAAGCGCTCAATACGCTTCCACTGCTTCAAGCGAACATGGACTCTTACCGAGATATATCTTTCATAAGCCATATAAAGTTATAATAGAACAAATAGAAGAGCCAGAAATGGCAGGTATGATTCATACCTACACGGACGGTTCTAAAACAAAACAAGGCTCAGAATGTGGAATATACTTCAGATTCTTAAACCTAAACATAAAATGAGCTCTAAACAATTGTGCCAATGTAGTTCAAACAGAGCTAACGGGGATTCTCATAGCAGCAAAATAAATAACCAGAAACAATATGACTGGAAGGAACATGCTCATCTGTACAGATAGCTTACCCTGAACAGACCACAAATTTACTCACAGTTAGTACTAGAATGTCACGAAGCTTTGGCCAAAGTACCCATCAACAATGTGGTCACCTTAAGATGGATCGAAGGTCACGCCACATCGAAATGTAACGGTCTTGCTGATTCACTAGCCAAGAAAGCAGCCAATCAAATACTTTTTGGACCTGACCCTTCTGTTGGCCTGACAAAATCGGTAGTGACAGACCTATTTAAAGAACATTCCCTTGTGAAATTCAGGGAAAGATGGGATGAAACAAGAAACTGCAGAGTTGCCAGGCAGCTCTTAAGTTATCCTGACAACACTGCAGCAAACAAATACTTGACTATGACTAGACAGAATCTGCTCCTAGTCACAGTCATTCTGACTGGTTATTGTCAAGTACGGAAGCATCTCCATATCATAGGGCTGTCAGAATCCGTACTTTGCAGAGGGCGCGAACAAAAAGATGAGATCATCGAGCATATCCTTTACGATTGCTCGACGCTCTCATTTATTAGAAGATTTGTGTTCGGCGAGTATCGGCTACCACCGGCCAATATAAGAGAAACATATCTTGGCGACGTTGTCAACTACATTAAATCTGTAGGCCGTGCCGTGGGGGTAACCCAACCTTACAGATAGATACAGAGATGCTAACAGGGATATCTACCGGACATTGCAATCTCAAAGGACTCCTTTGTAAACTGAAACTAGTAGAAGATAGTGAGTGCATATTTTGTGAGGAAAAAAAAACCTCCATTGACGTTCTGCCTGAATGGGTAGCACTTTAGAATTTAAGGGCACTATATTTAATTAAAAATTGCAATAAGCATGACTTGGGACCACTCCAAAACCTATATTTTCTTAAAAAGATAAGGTTGGAAGGATCGTTATAGGCATCCAGATTAGTCTTTCTGCTTGAGTGACAGAAGGGGTACAATAAATATTTTAGGTCGCAATGTAATAATACCTGATACATAATATATATTTTACAATATTAAACTCGTTCACATCACTAAATAAACTAAAAAGGTTATGAGTTTTCTAATATAAAATTTTTAAAATTTATATGCGCGCCACTGAAAATACTTCGTCTAAAGCCTAGTGGAAGCTTTAAATGCAACCCTTCTTTTTAAAAAAATACTTTATTATTTATTAAAACAAAAATCAAGAAATTTTCTTAGAATTAATACAGAATGGTACGGAAACTTTTTCTTAATTCCGTTTAAAAATTGACTAAAATATTTTTCGAAGGTTTAAAAAAAAATTAATGTTTCTCCTCAACATTTGTTGTGATTATTAAGTATTTAAAATTGAACTAAAAATAAAGGCTCGGGAGGTATTCAAAATTTTTTAAAGTGTTTGATTTGTTAGTATAAAATCATCTATTTGCCTGCTTTGCATCTAATGTCATATATTGTGAAGATATTGGTATGGGTTTATGTGATTAAACTGGAATATTCTAAGGACGTTATTTTTTGCTGGTGTTGATTTGTAATAAACAAATAAATATGTAAGTACCTACTTACCTTGAAGCGGTAGTGCTATCATGTATACTCCGATCACAGTAAATGCAGCTAAGCCGACTCTAGACCAGATTAAATAAAATACTGTAACGGATTGTACGGTAAACATAATAAAATCCTTAAACACCCACAGATTCAACTCCACGCAATGGATGTCTTTGGTCAAAACAGTGATCAAATTCCCGGAACTAGTCTCCAATACTGAAGTCGTCGAAAGTCTCAATATCTTCTCGTAGAGCAGCGACTGTAGGGCCGTCCTTAATTGTATCAGAAATTTGACTTCGAAAACGAGCAAATTTGATATGAAAACGAACTGGAAGATCTTCGTGAAGATAACAATACTGGCGCAGTAGTAGGCTTCGGATTCCGATATCGATGTTTGTTTTTTGTCGAAATAAGTTATCAGACGGCTCATCCCGTACGGTCGCAACAAACTGAAATAGAAAAAATATAGGGTGTTTTTAGAGCACATGTATTTATTAGAACAGATAGGTATAATATGATGTCCAAAAACGAACATCAATTAGTTTACCGTGTAATTCTCAAATTTAAATATATAGGAAGAAAAAATAGCAGAGCGACCAAGTAAAATCCAAATAAGTTGTATTGACGGAGTCCTCATTCCATCTCCAATAGAATTTCCATAAATATTGCGCCACTGATAGGCATGATTCACGAGTTTTTGAAGCTATGAGAAAATTGCCATTTAAATTTTATTTCGACAATTTGTTTACTGGTTTCAATGTTTTGTATTATTTGAAGCAGAACGATATGATGGTACGAGAACAATTCGATAAAACCGTAGACCGAAGTCTTGTACACTGGCTAATAATAAAGATTTTCAGAAGCAAAGTAATAGAAGCAATTACTTCTATATCATTGATAAGGACGATAGTGTTATTATTGTTAAATGGATGGATAATAATGTCGCTGCGGCTTCCACCTGTCATGGTACAAATTAAACTACAAGCGTAAAACGATTTTCTCGAGTGGAAAAGAAGATCTATGCTAGTAGTCCATGGCTTATAACGGAATATATTAGTTTTATAAGTGGTACTGATTTGTTGGATAAGAACATTGCCGGACATAGAATAATTATTAGGCAAATAAAATGGTGCTGGGCAACTTTCACTTGGTTATTGGATGTTTCAGTGGTAAATGCATGGAACATTTATAGACAACACGAAAAAAGTTGGTAGTTAGAAAGAAGATAGTGCAAACATATCTTACTAAATATGCAGTTCCGCCTAAGAGGACAGGAAAGCCCGCAACATCAAGTCCAGTGTAAGTCTAAACAGGGTATAAGATGATTTGAGGTATGACGGTTTCAACCACTTGCTTGTGCCGAATAAAGAAAGAAAAAGATGCGTCGGTGAGGGCTGTAACTCCAGTGTAATAACAAAATGCCAAAAATGTGATGTAGACTTTGTAACGGTTGGAACCGTTTTCGTTATTTTGACACGAACATCTCTACTCAAATGTCATTTGTCGTTTATGCCTTGTGTCAAAAGTTCCTAATTCATTCGATTTGTATCTGTCAACGAATCATGTTGATTTAAATTTTGAATTATCTTGGACATCCGATGTACTAATTGTCTCTTAATATTCTTATTGGCCGTCTCATTTTGTAAGCATGGCTATATCTAGATGGTTGATTTCAAGTTGTATCTAAGAATTTTATTTCAAGTTGTATCCAAGAAGTTTATTTTAAGTTGTGTCTAAGAAGTTTATTTCAAGTTTTATCAAGAGGTTTATTTCAAGTTATATCAATACGTTTATGGAGATTTAAGTTTATGAAGATTTATACCTAAGAGTTTGGTGCCATCTGAAGGCCGAGGTTTGGTTTACCTATAGAAGATCGTTCAAGTCCAGCATTAGAAATAAGAATCCCTTTGAAGAAGGTCTAATATACCATGCAAATCACCCCAATACAACTACTTCCTGTTATAACAGATAAGTCTTTATTTATGTTAACTTATCGTTTTAATTTACATAGGTATTTGACAGAGATTAACGATACCAACTGCATGTCTTTTATATTTTTACTTTATACTTTCTTTATACTTTCTTGTCTATTATTTTAACCATTACTCTAAATCTGTGTATCGTATCGTCAAGTTTTATATATCTGCATTTTGTACTAGGTTCAGTGTTTATTTATACATATTTTTATATATTTTTACATATTTACACATATTTATTTACACATATTTATTATACACTGATAAAACTGTGTAGTTTTTGGATTTTTACCTAAAGTTGATTTTTGTTGCCTATCAAGTAAAAAATTTTTTTGTTAGTGATAAAATTTTGTGCCTTTAATTAATTAAATTTATTGCTTTTTATATTTATCTGAAGATAATGATAATGAAGTCATACCTAGCGTTAATAATGATACCACTAACAGTGAATAATATATCCTGCAATTGTCTTGATTTCCATACCGTTCCTTTTAATAAGGTAAAATATTACTAAATTTTTCATATATACTGTCAGGCCAAAATATTATAACTAGCATTTTATTCTGCTATTACCTACACGACCAAGTAATACCGCCTGTAGTCAATTCTTTCCTTTTACACCAATGGAATATTTATTGTCAGGCCAGAATAATAAAAATTAGTATCTAAGTTTTTACTATTCTGCTATTACCTTCATGACCAAGTATTACTGTCTGTAGTCAATTTTTTCCTTTTACACCATCGGAACATTTATGAGTCAGACCAGACATTACCTTCTAACTTTTAACTGTCTGCTACTGCTTATTTTGTAAAGCAATACTCTCTGTAATAGCTACCTTAATTTTTGTTAATATGTATTCAGTTTCTAATAGTATTTCTTTTTATTAAAAAATTTCTACATAATTTTCTCTTTACATTTCTCTTTATTGGTTTGTTTTTCTTTTCTTATGCTTGCTTAAGACTGTATATATCAGTTATTAATATGATTCTGTACAAGTTTTTGAAACTGAGACGTCAGTTTGCATTTACCATATTAGGAGAGTGTATAGAAATATATTTATAATTTTTTCTTACTATTTGAATCTTAGTGCAGTGATTTATACAATGTCTATACCTACTTTTTATTAAATTTAGTAAATTAAATTCTACATTTTCTTTAGATTTTGAATGTCTTCCCTTTATAATTCATTCTTTATTATGTTTATTTAACTGAAAGATTTATTAGGATTTTTTTTTCTCTTTATTGGTAGTAAATTTATATATTGTTATTAAATTTGAGTAATATTTTAATTTATTTACCTTTTCCTTAAATTCGATCTTAAAATACCTAAGTTGACTTTGAACTATATTATCTAGCATTTCATGTTTCTTCTTTATATGGTTAGGTACCTCACTATTGCATAACTAATTGATTCTGAACCAACTTTGAATTATATTTCAATACAAGTAGTAAAAGTTTGTATATCTTTATTCTTTTTCAATTATAATTTGAGAATTTATGCTTTTAGCAATATCGTTTGATACCTCTGTTTTCATTTTATATTGAAAATAATTAAGTTGAGTATTACAAAATTTCATATTTGGGTTAACTTTGGGTTAACAGAGAACTTGCATTACTGTATTTTTTACCTAACTTTATTACTTTGTATGTTTCTTTGCTGATTTACACTGAGAAAAGTGACAGCATTACGAAGATGTTTCGTATACCTTACCTGATGTATTCTTTAAAGTGTGTACATTGTTTATCTTAATTTTCATAATTTATCTTCTATAATATTATTATATCCTTATTCACTAGTTAAGTGAATGTGTTTTTTATCGTTTAATAATATTATTTTTACCTTTAGTACATAATGTACTATGTTTTTTGAATATCAAGATATTTATCGTTGATTTGAAATGGTTCACCTTTACTTAGTTATGATATATGCAAATATAGTTCAATGATCATTCTTTCTAGTTTACCTTTCATTACCTTACATACCTTTATTTACCTTTATCTTATCTTTTTCTGATTGTGACATTTGTATGGTACAAAAGAGTACAGATTTAAAGTTTAAATCATTTTTTTCATTTTAATCAAATTTTTTTTTAAACAAGCATATATTATATAATGTTGATTTACTAATTTTCTTTTCTTTATATACTAAGCTAATAGGAAGTATATCTTTTCTTATTTCTTCTTACTTTGTTAACATTTTTTTTACAGCGATGTCTTGTGTTATTCATTGTATGATGGTGTATAATCATTTTTTTTTGCAATTTTTAAATTTCTTCTACGGTAATTGGTTTAGCAGTGATATTTGGAGTTGAAAGATTTTTGAAGGACCCTTTCTTGAAGTGACCTTTGATTACTGTGGATATCGGCGGGCAAGACTCTTGAAAAGTAATCCATTGATCGTTTTACCTCTTGTATCATTCTAGCTAGTTACAACAAAAGGAGAGAATATGGAAGTAGTAAAAAAAATTCAAATTAAAATTTAATTTTTCTTTTTTTTTACCCGGAGGTAGTGGGGTGTAACGGTTCGAACCGTTTTCGTTATTTTGACACAAACATCTCTACTCAAATGTCATTTGTCGTTTATGCCTTGTGTTAAAAGTTCCTAATTCATTCTCATTCGATTTGTATCTTTCAACGTATCATGTTGATTTAAATTTTAAAATAACCTTGAACATCCGATGTACTAATTGTCTGTTAATATTCTTATTGGCCGTCTGATTTTGTAAGCATGGCTATATCTAGATGGTTTATTTCAAGTTGTATCTAAGAAGTTTATTTCAAGTTGTATCTAAGAAGTTTATGAAGATTTAAGTTTATGAAGATTTAAGTTATGGAGATTTAAGTTTATGAAGATTTAAACCTAAGAGTTTGGTGCCATCTGAAGACCGAGGTTTGGTTCACCTATAGAAAATCGTTCAAGTCCAGCATTAAGAATAAGAATCCCTTTGAAGAAGGTCTAATATACCATGCAAATTCCTCCAATATAACTACTTCCTGTTATAACAGATAAGTCTTTATTTTAGTTGAATAAATCATCTTAATTTGAATTAAGTAAATCTCTGTGAATTAGAATTTGTTACTACCTTATCTAAAACTTGGTTTAAATATAATATCTAAATTGTTAGTGATTTTCTATATTTTTATCACTAATCTATAGTCAAGTATAATAAGTTTTAAACTGATTCTTAATTTGCCATCAAATACTGTAATGACATTAGATATTGATATATTACCATAGGATAACCATTTTTCTTTTAACCAAATGCTGGACAAATGCATGGCGGCAAGGGAAGATATGTAACTAGAAAACAGAACAACAGATCTCTTTATTTCTTTAATGAAAAAATAATCAAAATTTATAAATTAATCTGTAACAGTAAAAAAATCGCTTTTCAAGCATTTTCTGTCGTCAATTTTTGCTAATTCCGGTGTAGAGATTTCGACCACTTAGCAGGATATTTATATTTTTCAA